TTCCTCGTGCTGTAAAAATGAAGAAGTACAACTTAATTTACAGACCAGGTAGTAATATGAGTGAATTACCTATGAAAGGCAGATAAAAGCTGCTACAGACAGAAGCACTTGAACTCTATCCTTCCACTCTACACTTGATGGGACTCTATCCCAAATGCATTCTTTATTTACTACTGAACGTGACCAATCCACAATGCAATTATTCAGAATTAAGGGGGGAAAAACACACACACACACACACAAGAAAAACCCTTAATGTGCACAGTAGCTCTAAATTTTTGCGTCTCCTTGTTATTCTGTTCTTACTTTCTTCTATAACTGTTAACTCTTCCTTTCTTCATATAATGCTGTATACAATGGAAGCTCAAGCTCATGCTCGGGCCCCTCATTGCTCCAGGGGGAACAGTTGCCATGATCCAATTTAGAGCATCTTCCACACTGTCTCCATACTTTGCTCAGTACTTTGCAACAACAAAGAGTTTCAACATTCCTTAAACAAAGCACTGCAAGTATTGAAAGTCCCTTGGGAAGTAAATGCTAAAACACAGCAGCACTCAGGTCTCAATAAAGCAAAAGCATTAACCACCTGCTTAATGTTTATTAACCTAAGGAGACTCCTTGTGTATTTAGGAGTTGGTTAAGTGCTTCGGTGCACTCCAAGATCAAGATGCAAAGCTGGTGGTGGATTCCTTCCCATGCTTTGCCATCAGTCCTGGATCTACAAAGGGAGGCAATACACGACTATGTGGTGATCAGGCCATAATGCTGGGTTGTACAGCATGATTTTCCTAATTTCCTTTTTTAAGACCAATGAGAGCATCTCCCATCCATGTACTATGTGAACTCTGCGATTTCATGGAATCATAGAAAAGCCTGAGTTGGAAGGGGCCCTTAAAGGCCATCCAGTCCAATTCCCCTGCAATGAACAGGGACACCTACAGCTACATCAGGGTGCTAAGAGCCCTGTCCAGTCTGATCCTGAATGTCTCTATGGACAAGGCACCCACCACGTCTCTGGGCAACCTGTTCCAGTGCCTCACCACCCTTACTGTAAAAAACTAATATCCAATATAAATCTCCCCTGTTAGTTTGAAACCATTTCCCCTTGTCCCTTTCACCGTATTGCAGGCAACAATGAAAAAAAAAGGCTGCACATGCTACTTACCTTGAGAATAACCCTGGCCAGTGTCCCATGTGATCTGTTCATGACCAACCAAAGGAAAAACAGTATAGATGAAGTCACGGTAAAATTAAGAACTGAACTAATGCTCCCATGAGAATACCTAGAAACATTACACCTATGGAATATGAAATGACCTGTTCAAATCTGACTCATAACGTCCAGGGCACAGTAAGGTTAATAAAAGCAGTGTTTAAAAATTCTTGGCTTGTGGCATTTTAATTCAAGCTATTTGAATTCCCCGACCTCTGTGACTCCCTACGTACATCAGATTTTGTTCATTCTCCCCATAAAAAGACTATTTTTAGGAGGAAAGGTCTAACACAGCAGAGGGTGCACGGTGTAGGTTTACAAATTTTGGGTTTAATTCCTTCTGCTGTGTAGTGTTTGGTCTCCATTTATTCCTGACATCTCACACTACTTAAAATCTTTTTTTTTTTTGTTTCCATTGCCAGGTTTTTCTTTAAAAAAAGCAATTTTCTGCTAACTTCCTGCTATTTTCCATGTAATGCCAATACACAGCCAACAGCTAGAGAAGAGCACACAGGGATATAGGGGAATGTTTGCTTTTCCATGAATTTTTGGGAACAGAACAAGGAGGATATGCAGATGCTGCTCCCCAGCAACATCTAACTTACAACTGCAGAGCAGGGCATGGATTACATGTTCACCTGCTATGCTCCAAGTAACCCGAGTGGTCTCCTCCAGAAACTGTTGAGATTCTCTAGCCACTGAGATTCTAGGGTAAGTTGGAGCTATCACTTGTAACTTCCCTGCTGTTGAAGTGGCTCCAGAGGAAGGCCATGAGGATGTCCAGAGGACTGAAGCACCTCTCCTACAAAGAAAGGCTGAAGGAATTGGGCTTGCTCAGCCTGGAGGAGAGGAGACTCCAAGGAGATATCGTTGCATCCTTCCAGTATTTGAAGGGAACATAAACGAAGAAGAACTGACTTTTTACCTGGTCTGATTGTGACAGTACAAAAGGGGGGTGGCATTAAACTAAAAGAGGTACATTTTAGGTTAGATGTTAGGAAGACATGTTTTACACAAAGGGTGGTAAGGCACTGGTAGAGGCTGCCCAGAGAATGGATGCCCCATGCGTGTTCAAGGCCAGGTTGGATGAGGCTCTATGCAGCCTGATCTATTGGGTGGCCACTAGCCCAGGGCAGGAGCATTGGAATTAGATGGGCTTTAAGGTCCCCTCCAGCCTCAACCATTCTATAATTCTTTGATATAATTGGATTAAATGCAATTAATGAGGAGCAGCAGCATCCTCAACTCTTTTACTGTTGGAAGATGCCAGGGTTTTCTGTTGGATACCTGAACATTAATGCTGGACCACACGCTATAGTATCCGTATGCAAGGATGCCAGTATGTTTTATTTATCTGTTTACTGGATACAGTAAAAAGAAGGTTTCAGAGCACTGGCAGACATGTCCATCAAGGTCTGCCCCTCTTAGCAGACATATATAGAGCGGAAGGAAGGCCATGCTCTTTTGTTCCAGCCATACCATGAGGTAATATAGAGAGCAGTTTATCTTAGCAAGGCAGTCATCTGTCTTTTGGAAGCAGGAGGCAGAAGATGAGCTCTACATTGACCCTCCCCTGACAATTAATGACAATAACTGGGGAAAATGCAACATCAGACACCTGGCACGTGTTAGGCAGTCTGCCATGGTGAAAGGGCATGGTGAGTTAGGTATATGCAGGTTCAGATGGATCATCTCTGATTTCAACGCATAAAAAGGAGAAAATCTTCTCCAGCTTGCTGTTGGCCAGGGCAAACAGGCTCCCTTCACTTTCATTAATGCCTTTCTGAGATAGTATACTGCAAAATGACAAAGCACACGTTCCAGCCTTGCTATCCTTTTAATATGGAGACAAATCAAATGGTCCAAGTTTGGGCCAAGAGACCTGACTTTTGCTAGCTAGGAAAATTTACCCTGGAAGATCTGGAAGACTTGTCCAATGCAGCCCTACCCAAAATCGTGTATGAATGCAGGGGGAGTTTCTCATCTCTGATAAACAGAAATCTGGGCAGCTGAAATGGTCTCAAGACCATTGCCATCTTGAGAAATCTGATGTTCCTATGTCAGCTGCTTTTTGCAATCCACTGAGGGTAGGTTCAACTTTACTCAGTAACTGCCAAATGACAGGCAAGCTGAGCATGGCGTGGTCCCTCTTCAAATATTTAGAAACCACAAGCATCTTGAATTATTCTCTGCATTTGCATTAAAAATAGTGAACATTTTATACATCACTGTAAGTACTTTTCATTTTTAAACAAAACCCACTATGCACTGCCATCCCTCATCTATCTATTCCTCATTTTGATTCTTTTTTCGTATGGCTCTATCAGTGTGCTCAAGTAACTCATTCTTCCTTGCTTTTATGCCTTTAATTCTGCCTTATAGAATAGCATAAAAACTACTATTTAAAACCTAGCAGTCAATTCAAGAATTTAAACTTAATTCAGTACATTCTCCCTGTTCAAAGAAAGAAAGAAAAAAAAAAAAAGAAAATTGTACTCACAAGAAAACAGAAAACAATGAGAAACCTTAATGCTTCTTTTATAGTTTCATCCAGGGGGAACAGCTATTTGCAAAACAACAAAACATTTCCCAGAGAATATCTGGAACCTTGACAACTTGGAAACAAAGTCAGGCTGCCTTAATGAACAGCCCAGTTGAATCCAAAGGCAATGCAAGAGAATTGTGATGTTTCTTCTAGGTACAAAGCAATAAAGCAGACCTTTCCCATGCTACAGTGTCCCCTTTCTTGATGATTCTGTGAAGGTCTGAACCCTCACAAGTGTCTTCACCAGAGCTATTGCAGCCTCACCCTACCTGTACAAGCCAGATCCAAACTAAAAACTAAATGCAAAAATATGTTCCAGTGCATAAGGCTTGCTGAAAGTCAAGCTATATTAAACCACATATGGTCCTACAGCAATTCCCCATGCGTACCAGACCTGGTGCACATCTGGGCAGCTGGAGACAAAGCTTTACCATGCCTACATGGGCTGGCACCAGCCCTCTCAAACAGTACCTCAGAGCAGGGAAGAATGAGAAATATCTTCCATCACCGTGCATGAGCCAGCCCTGCATCAACATTTCATATATACAGGTTGACATCTCAATGATTTTTTCTTTCTGCTTTAGTGTTTCTAGAGTCCTCTGGGGGAAGAAGGGAGCAGCTTAGGGAAGCACATCTGCTGTTCACTTAAAAACATCCCACAAAAACCAGAATATGCAGTCATTTGCAAGCCATTCCATTGTTTATGATTTCAACATTCCCTGAGCAAGTTTTTATCCCCCAGTGCCATGTTAAAGCACATTTTGCAGATTATAGCAGTCACCCCAGCAGTTAGGTAATGCTCTGTAGAATCACAACTCTCTTCTCGCTGCGCCTCTTCCCATTTAATCCCATCATGAGAGCACTTATAACTATCCAGGGAATAACAATTAAGACCAACTTCTTGTTGGGGAGATAAAAGAAATGCAATCAGGTCTAGACACTGAACCAAATTCCTTCTCCAAATCCACCAACATAACTCCAAAATCCTCATCAGTGCTGCTGTTCCGTGGCCATTGACAAGACACATTCAAGCCTCAAGAGTTGAGCACGGTTAGATGTGGTGCCTCATCATACAAACTGAACCCAATGAGTGTTTGGGTTCCACCTTTGAAAATCTCTACCAAAACCACTTCTGAAGGTAGCTTGATATTTATACAAAAGCCACACTGAACCTCATTCAGTAAAAGCTCATTCCACAAAACGTAAGGAGGAATAAACTACTACAAGACATAAATACTTTACCAAGAGGTTGATAGCCTTGTCTCGAAGGGCCTCCAAATGGGTTCCTACCAAATCCACTCCCATCAATGGATCCATAAGACATTTTCTAGATAGCAGAGGATGCAGGATTATACTTTAAACCTAAGAAAATAGAGAAAAAGACAGATAAACTGTTAAATGTCAGTTAAATCCCAAAAGTTTGGGGGAAGGAGGGAAGGCAAATGGAAAAATAAGTGGGAAAAAAAGTCCTAAGTACAAACTTCAATATGGTCACCCACAAAATAAAAACACTAAAATCCAGATCTCCTGGAATATAAATGATCCTAGGGGCAACCAAGTCATCTGACCTCTCTGCACCTGTGAAAGTGGCAACCATTTCTCTGTTTCAGCCACGGCAAGACTTTAATTCCTTGATGTTTATGACATGTCTTGAGTTCTTAAGGTGATAGGCAAGAAATAGGCACTCGATCAAAAAAGATAATGCTGTCTTCTGGAACACTACAGCTACAGAGCTGGTGAGGAGTCTATCCATCACATCAGAGCTCTGAAGAAACCATCTGCTTCTATACTATAAGATTCTGAAGTACCAGAAGCAGCAGACTGAAATCACTGCAGCAGTGACAGAGAAAAACTTCTCCCCCTGTCCCAGTACACACTTCAAATACCCCATGGCTCATCAGTGTGGCCCCAGGGCTTTGGTATCAAATGTAGTCCAGCCCTAAACCACAGTAATGACAACAGCAAAGGAAGAAAACAGATAAATGTGTCACATCAGAAAGGACACGACACAGAATAAAACCCAGCTGCTGCCTCTTTACATCAAAGCTGGGTAAAAATGTCCCAAGCAGAAAATCATGAGGCAGACTTATTCACTAAAAAAGGGAGAAGACATCACTGCTCATTGGGTAGCTCTTCATTAAGCTGCTCACCATTCTCTCTCAATGGAGATAAACATATAATTGACATCTGAGAGTGCAGATACCTCTTCAACATAAATCCTACATTTCAGGTAAACAGCCTTCAATCAGAAAATATGGGAATGAAGAGTATAAGTTAAGAGAAACCACCTTCAAACTATGGGTTTCCAAGACAAACAATATAACAGTTGGATCGTGTCAAGTAGGTAAAGCCATACATCTTGCAGAAGAATAATCTATCATGTCTTGATATAAGTTCTTCATAAAATAGATCAAGATACACTTGGGGAGGCTGATGGACTGGGAAACAAATCCTGTCTCTCCTAGGTCTCATGGAACTCAAGAACTACCAAGACCTTTACCTTCCACCTTGGAAAATGAGGGCGCATAGGAGGCAGATAGAGAAAAAATTCCGGGCAGGGATGAGGAGTTTCAAATCCCAGTGTGGCTACAGATTAAAACCACAGTAAGCAGGGAATTTGAACAATCCAACATCTGGAAAACTGCCTATATACATAGATTGATCCTAATTCATGTCTCCTTTTTATAAATGGGCAACGGGAGACATATGCTGCAATGGCTTCCCAAAAGCCACGTGTAACAAATGTGGAGTGAAAGTCTGCGTCTTGTCGTTGAGATGACTCAATTACAACTGGGCAAGCATTTCTCTGGCAAAAAGTGAATGTATTTTTTTCCCCAACAAAGTGGTGTGAAAGGGGAGAGGAGGAAGGTATTTAGAACACTCCAAATGCTTCATGTTGATTTTTCATTTTCAAAGCGTATTTCCATTTTAAACTTTTTCTCCCATTCAAGGAGGGGAAAAAAAAAAAAAAAAAAAAAGAATTAAAAGCAAAATATTTTGGTTTTGTTTAACCAATCTTTTTAGAATCAACCACCTCCCACCCCAACCTACTAAGCCCCTGAAATATCCCTTATTCACACAGCTCCAGAACACTCCTACCATGTAGTAATGTGGTTACAGGAAAATGTGAGAGCAAATTTGTATACCTTTCCTTTGATAGGCATTAAAAGCATTTATCTCCCCATCCCCATGTCACCTCCCAATTCTTTTATCTGCTGCTCCTCAGGGAGGCCTGTCCAACTTGCTGTGACAGACAAGTGACTTGTTATGAAGGCAGTTCATACAAATTGGAACAAGCATTGTCTAACATTACATACAGAAAAAAGGAAACAGTAAGAGATCTGATCACAACTTTATCCTATAACCTACAATGGAATACAAGAACAACCATTCCCATGTCTGAACAAAAGAGCAATCATCCAAGACCACATATTCATATTTTAATGACATGCAGTTACTTTTTGCTTTTGGTGTCCCACAAAGAAAAATAATATAGTTAAAAAATTAATAGGATCTAGGATCTTCAGGAAAGAGCTGGTCTATGTTTCATGATTTAGAGAAACTATCAGCCAGCAGGCAAAATTATTTAAACTGTTCCTTACACATTCAGAGGGCTAACATCAGTAATTAGGGGAAAACCACTGGAAGAAACTCACTCAAAGCAACTGAAGGTAAAAAACAGAACAGCCAGTGTGCATATGGCAAAAAGTCATATCAGACCAATGTGGATGTCCTACAAGTTAGCAGTCAGTAAAGTTAGAAGAAAATCAACAAATATTATCGTATAATAACAATAACAAATTCCTTGCATAGCAGAAGAAACTGACTGAAGATTCAGGTGCATATTTTCATTATAAAATCACTTCCATTGGACTGCTATCATAATTAAATTAGAAATTGTGTGGGCTCCACCAATCCTTGCTCTGTCCATTTGTATTTTCGGTAGTGAGATGGCTAATGGAACAGGGATTAGCCTCATTAGAAAAACATGTGACATGACAGAATAGAGGAAAGCTTCAGCACTCAGAACAATCCTAATAAACCAGAAATGATGCCTAAAAAACAAAATAAAACACTACATAATTTAGGTCAGCTACAATCTTCTAGATAGGTGAAGTAAACCTTTTACTTAACACCATACTGCACAGCCCTCAGCTGTAGGCAAAAAGCTCCAGTAAACATTTTCTAGAGGCAGAAGTGAATCCAGAGTGAGCTTGGAGAATAACAATAGGTCAAGAAAATGTGACATGTACAGAAAAAACTAAGTAAATGGAGTTGTTTTGCCTACAGAATGGATAGCAGATGGAAAACAGGAATCTTCAAAATGGCAAAGTTGTGGTCAAAACATGGGGAGTAGAATACTCTCTTCATTTGTATTGGACAAAGGAAAGGAATAACTCTCAATCACGAAGCATAAAAGATGAACTGTGGCATTGGGAAAGCCTATGAGGAAGGAACAGGCAACACAGGGAATGTCTTACTTATGACCAGCTCATGACCAGTCCTAAACTCTGATTAGGAATTACATACGTACAGATGAGCCCTCAAAGCATAACAGAAGATACAGAAATACAGTACAAGAGAAACAGAAAGAAATAAAAGGTAGGTTAGAAAATCAGTAAATCAGATTATTATTTGCTTCTGAACCATCTTCAACCTACACAGACGACGAGGGGTGGGTAGGAGAACAAGGATCTCTTGGCAAACTGTAGCTTCCCCATTTCATCCTAGAAGCAAAAAGCTGAGCTTTCCAGTTTGCTGTTGGCTTTTCACATGGGTCATTGGGTGGATGAGTTTACAAATGTGATCCTAACGAGGAGCTGCACAGGCATAATATATGTGTTTTAGTCTATTCGCTGCATGAAGAGAGAGTCACCAGTATGGGCAGTGTACACTTGAGAAGTAGATCAAACTAATGGATGGGGGCCACAATTTTACCCTTTTGGGGTGTGTTCACGAGTCCTTTCTTCCTAAGAATAGATGGGCCTTTGCCCTAACAGCCGGAGGAACTCCAAGCAGAAGGATGTATAATTTCTTACCCAGTCCCACTAAATGATGTCAATACGGATAATAGACTTAAATACGTGTCTTGATTCTTTTCCTCACCTTTTGTACAAGCTTCCAACACCTAAAACATGCAGTATGCGGGACGCTCATCTTTAAAGGATATCCCCTCTATAGCTATGAAGAAAATCCTGAACATGTCAAATCCGGATCCTCAAAGCCCAAGAGAAAAGGCCCAACGTCACTTTTATTACTTCTGACAGCACACATTGAAATGCCTCCTCCCCAGGCAATAACATTTCCTTATCCTTTACAGATTAAGCTGTCAGTGCTCAGCCTGTCTCCAAGAAGACAGATCCTTTGGAGTCTTTTTTGGAAGCATCAAGCAATAAGTGTGGTTGGAAGGGAACTCTGGAGACCATCCTGGTCAACCACCCTGCCCAAAGTAGGGCCAGCTAGAGCAGGTTACTCAAGCCAATAGGACAGGACAAGAGGAAATGGCCTCAAGATGAGCCAGGGGAGGTTCAAGTCAAATATCAGGAAAAACCTGTTCTCTGAAAGAGTGATCAGGCATTGGAACATGTTGTCCAGGGAGGTGGCGGAGTCACAGTCCTGGACATGTTCAAGAAATGTGGACATGTGTCATGGAGGGCATGGCTTAATGGGCATGGTGATGATGCGTTGACAGCTGGACTTGATGCTCTTAAAGGTCTTTCCCAACCTTAATGATTCTACGATTCTGAGACCATACCTGATAAGTTTTAACTATCTCCAAGGACAAAGACTACGCGCCATCTCTGGGCAAATTCTGGCATTCAGCATCCATAAATTGGAAACTCTCCTTGGTATCCAACCAGTCACATCATTAAAGTGCAGGTGGAGATTGCCTATGGGCTGGGAATAAGGAGTGATACAATGTGACCTGTTATGAAACCGGTCTCAAGAGTTTTGGACATACTAATTCCAGTACTACACATAACACAGTCTTGCCTCTGCCCCTGTCTCAGACTGAACAGGTACTCCTTTCAGGTCAGGTCTACTGTATTAGAGGGAAGATCTCCAGGTTCCTCAGGAAAGAGCATGGGAAATTCAGCTGTGGGTTCAGCATAACCTTGTAATAACCAGAATCACAGAATAGCCGGGATTGGAAGGGACCTCAAGGATTATGCATCTCCAACCACCTGCCACATGCAGGGCTACCAACCTCTACGTTTAATACTAGACCAGGCTGCCCAGGACCCCATCCAATCTGGCCTTGAACACATCCAGGGACCAGCTGAAGCCAAGCCAAGGCATTCAGGTGAATTCCTTACCTGCAGTTCTATGCTGATTTCCTCATGTGGATTTCTCTTCCTGGG